ATACCCCCCCCCCCCCTCCTGCTGCCTCTTCATGGAGATCCTGAACTCCTGCACGGACTGCGACGAGATCCAGTTCATGGAGGACGGTTCCTGGTGTCCGATGAGACCCAAGAGGGAGAAGCAGGAGATGTGTCACACGCCAACTTACAATACCATTGACAGTAAGTGGCGTATATGTTTGGCTTGCCCGACCGCTCACATGCAGAAGGGATTTAAAAGCTGAACGCTGCGGAAGGAGGAAAAATATAATGGCTGCGTACACCTCGTCTCCTCTCTTCCAGCGGGCATGCTCTACGACCTGAGCGCCGACTTCAAGCACAGCGCCGAGACCAAAAAAAAGGTGGAAGTCATCGACTTGACCCTGGACAGCTCGTCCGACGAGGAGGAACCCCCGGCAAAGAGGACCTGTCCCATCACCTCCACCATCATGCCTTCTTCTCTGGGGTCTAAAGGGTAAGACTAGGGGGGGCCCTTCTTGTGTGACTCAGTCAAAGCCCCGCCAGCTTCTATGGCTTCCAGGTAAGAGGTCTCTGCAAACGTGCAAGATCTCCCGGGGCCCCGGAGCCGACCAGCTCCCACGTGTCTGACTGGGATAGAAAGGTGAGGGATCCTCTCTATAGGGGTTGTTGATGGACGACTTGGACATATTTCCAGAGACGTGCCGGTCAAGCTCCACAGAAGTGTCCGAGACAGGAAGTAGTCAGTGAAGTCCTCACTAATATTCCTTTGTGTGTTTTTAGGGTGATCAGCATCGACCATCAAACGTCATCCGTCTTGAGGAGCCCTCCGCTGACCACAATAGGCAGCGACTACCTGTCAAGTCTCCCCATCCCGGACTACCATCGAACTTTCCCAGTACCAAGTGAACTTCAGGGTAAGGAGGACCAATATTTGCATTAAAATTGATGTTATGGGGTGACAACTCTCTGTCTCTGTCTTGCAATTGTGCTCCTGTGTTGTCACCCTGTCACATGGGCTCCCAATGGGGACTGCAAGTGACCTTCAGGGTAAGGAGAGCTGTATTTTCATTAAAATTGATGTGATAGGGTGACAACTCTCTGTCCCTGTCTTGCATCCTGCATTGTTATCCTGTCACATGAGCTACCAATGCAGACTACAAGTGACCTTCTGGATAAGGAGACCTGTATTTGGAGTGAAATTATTGTTCTAGAGTGACAGCGCCCTATCCCGGCCTTCCAGTTGTGCTCCTGTGTTGTCACCCTGTCACATGGGCTCCCAGTGGAGACTACAAGTGACCTTCAGGGTAAGGAGACCTGTATTTGGATTGAAGTCAATGTTACAGGGTGACCACGCCCCATGCCTGTCCTCCAATTGTGCTCCTGGGTTGTCACCCTGTCACATGGGCTCCCAGTGGAGACTACAAGTGACCTTCAGGGTAAGGAGACCTGTATTTGGATTAAAGTCAATGTTACAGGGTGACAACTCTGTCTCTGTCTTGCAATTGTGCTCCTTCATTGTCACATGGGCTCCCAATGGAGACTACAAGTGACCTTCAGGGTGGGGAGACCTGTATTTGGATTGAAGTGGATGCTATAGGGTGACAACGCCCCATCCCCGTCTTCCAATTGTGCTCCTGAGTTGTCACCCTGCCACATGGGCTCCCAATAGAGGCCTTTTCAATACACATTACACAGACATGGCACCATCAGTAAACCCGCCCTGAGTAATGCCATGGGGTGCATGTAGAGAGGACGTGGAGGCAAAGAGGCCGCAGAAAAAAGGTGAAAACAACCTCCGCCTATGGAAAGGTTTCTTTATTCTTTACAGTAAGAGCCATGAAAACGCAGAATACCGTTCCCCAGGAGCTGTGCTTGCTTTACATATAGAAATCTATAAATTATTACTAACTATTTATATTTTATAAGAAATCACTCCGGGGAGGGGAGCAGGAAGGAAGCTTTGGTGCAAAATTGGACCACAATTGATATTGATAAATATATAT